TGTGATGCTCCCCAGGGGTTGGTGCTGGGTCTGGTCTTGTTCAACGTCTTCATCAGTGACCTGAATGAAGGGATGGGCTCCATCATCAGCAAATTTGCTGATGATACAAAGCTGGGAAGATTGGCAACATGCTAAAAGGCTGTGCTACCATCCAACAAGACCTGGACAGACTGCAGAGTTGGGCAAGGAAGAACCTGATGAGATTTAACAAGAGCAAGTGTAGAGTCTTGCACCTGGGGTGGAATTACCACATGCATCAGTACAGGTTAGGGGATGACCTGCTGGAGATGAGTTCTGTGGAGAAGGACCTGGAGATCTGTTGGTAGACAACAGGTTGGCCGTGAGTCATCAGCCACCTTGCGCCTGGTGGCCAAGTGGTATCCTGAGGTGCATTGAAAAGAGAGTGGCCAGCAGGTTGATTCCCCTCTGATCTGCCCTGGCTACTTTGTCCAGTTCTGGGCTCCCCAGTTCTTAAAAGACAACAATCACCTAGACAGAGTCTAGCAGAGGGCCACAAAGATGATTAAGGGCCCAGAGCATCTCCCACATGCGGAAAGGTTGACTAACCTGGATCTGTTCAGCCTGGGGAGGAAAAGATTGAGAGGGGATCTGATAAAAGTTTATAAACATCTGAAGAGAGATGGATGCAAATGGATGAGGCCAGGCTCTTCTCAGTGGTTTGTAGTGATAGGATAAGAAGTGATGCCCTAAAACTGTAATGTAGGAAATTCTGTACTAACATGTGTAAGAACTTCTTTATGGTAAGGGTGATGGAGCACTGGAACAGGATGCCCAGAGAGGATGTGGAGTCTCTTTCTATGGAGATATTCAAAACCCATTTGGAAGCCTTCCTGTGTGACCTATCGCAGGGTATGTGCTTTAGCAGAGGACTGGACTCAGTGATCTCTGGAGGTCACTTTCAACCCCTGCAATTCTGTGATCTCTTGAGGTCCCTTCCAATCCCTATGATTCTGTGATTATATGAACTAATTGGATTGTCAGAAAATGGTTACTATCCTCCACCTTACTTTTAATTTCATATTTCGTACCTGTCCATTTTTAGTTTATAATGTTCATTTAGAGGGTTAAATCACTCATATAACAGTAATTACAATCAAGTTAATCTTCTTAGTCAGTATTAAGTTGTCCAAACAAAATATGAAATTGCAGTTTACAGGAAAGTGTTGGTTCTGTCCTCAGTCTTTTTTACACATTGTCAGGACTTACTCATCATCTTTTCAAGTAATTAATACATTTGGCACACAGCAAGGGTTTTCTCGACCAGTTCATGAAACATAACAATTTATTAGTTGTAGTTGTACTTAACTTAAACAATACACACCATTTTAAAATTACATTGTGATTACTAAATATTAATACAAATATCTTTTTTCTCTGAAATTAGCATAAGCATTTTTAGAATATTATTATTAATATTTTATTTTAAAATAATATCAATGTATTCACTGTCCATCCCTCAACAGTGACTTCCATTATCTTCAAAATATAATAGGAAACAAGGTTTATTTATGGTTTACTTTACAGTTTACTTCACTCCCCCTTTATCTGTTGCAAAAGCCAACTATTTTGCACAAAGTTTCCAAAGCAGTTTTAAGCTAAGTCCAGATGTGTAGGTTAGAAAGCTGGTTCTTTGCAGTGCTTGGCAGTGGGGAGGCCCACTTGGAAGATGAAGACAATTGCTGGGAAAGCAGATGAGTATTCTTGCTGGGCAGAGGTGTCAGAGGCTGAAGGGTGAGGGCCAAGCAAGCCCAGCCCCTGCGCCTGCTCACTGTCAAAGGCAGGTGAGGGCAGAGTGTGCCTGCATTGTCCAGCAATGTTTTTTACTCCTGCATCATGGCTGTTAGTGGTGTTTACCTAATAGGACAGAAGTTGGCTCTCCACCACTGCCTTTATTACTTGCAGATGTCTCTCACCCTTACAAACTGGGACTGGTAGTTTTAAACTGTGCTTGTTATTTGTCCTGAGAGAAATAAGATGTTTCTTTCTCCATAAATCTATTTCTTTCTATTGTGTTGTGTTAGCTCTGCATACAGTTTATTTTGTACCTCAAAACAGTTCATTTTTCTATTTCACGGCTATTTGCTACTTCAGATTTTTCTCATTATTTCTTTCTTACATTTCACAGGCAGGATCGTACAAATTTTAGCTCCAGTTTTAAGTAGCATTTCAAGTCTTCCAATTGTATTTCTCATGTTTCTTTTTCACTTATTACATGTAATTCCACAAAAACAAACAAAACCCAATTCCGTCCAGCTGCAGTAATCACTATTTTTTAGTTCTTTTTCTTTCTCCCTTTTACAAAAATTCCTTTGTCTTGCAGAATGCTGCACTATAAGCATTTTAACACTTGTTTTGTCTTATAAACTGATGTATTTATTTTTTTATCAAAGTGACATTTTCAGTAAAGAATATTCAATCTCATTATTGAAATATTCTCTCTGTATCTCTGGCTGATTAAATACTGGAACTGGTTTAAGTTTGTGGGATCTCCATGCTGGAGAATATCACAAACTCAGTTGGAAAAGCCTCTTGCAATTTGATCTGACTTCGAAGTTTCATCTACTTTGGATGTTGACTCTGCTTTAAGCAAGGGCTTGGACCAGGTAGGCATCCCCTTCAACCATATTATGTTGTGGTTTTATGGAGAGCTGCATTGGGTCAGCTGCAGACATTCTTGAGAACATAACCACACAATGCGGATGTGTGAGGTGACCAGGTCAGCACTGAAATGTATGAGTTTTGTCTTTTCCTGTCTCTGTGACCTCTTCAGAATCCCCTTAACGTTGCCTGAGAAGACTTTCCCAAATTTCCTGATGTTTTATTTTGTTCCGCATTCTTCCTAGTGTAAGAAATGATAGCTGCAGGGCAAACTGCATCAGCTGACTGTGACCTGTGAAGTAAGGTATTGCAAGGTCTTTGTTGCTTTCCAACTCCCTCTGGATTTTCTTTCCTCCTGCAAGCATACAAATAATTCCACATATCTGTCATTTGATCTATACCCTGAGGAAACAGAGCCATATAGTTAAAAGCAAAATACACTACAGGAAATCGTAGGGTTTTAAGCAATTTTGAACCATGATTGCTGTATTCTAGCCTGGTTCTCTCTTTGTGAAATGATGCCTTTTTAAAACAATTTACCCTTCTACCTCAAAAAGTGAAATTTGATCTGACACCAAGGGAACAGCACAAATGGTTAAATTATTGGCAAGTTGTAGCAGTGGTGTCTGTGCTCGGGAGAAACCGTGTGCATGGGTGCATGCACTGCTGAGAAGCAACCCTCAGGAGAGTTACTGTGCATGCACCAAGTACTGCCAGCCTGTTTAGTGAATTTGCCTCTGCAGTCATTAGGTGCTCTGAGAGAGAGGGAACAAAGTCCTAGAACTGCCTCCTTGTGCATAAGGTTGTTTCTGTGTAGGAGATGCATTCTCACAGTATTTCAGCCACCCACTTCAACCCTCTGAGAAAAAAATCAACTCTAATTTTCCCATTCCATTTATACGTAATGCATTGTGTAGGATACCAAGTGGTTATGGTTGCTAAGAGCCCTATTTGTATTATGCTCGGTACAAATTTCAGGTAAGACTTTGAAGAACTGAGGAAGTTGATCTTTCACAATACCATAAGCTAAAATTATGCTTATTTCCAAATAAATATAAAGGAAAAACATGAAGGTTGTTTTATGATGGAATAATACTTTCCAAGTTTGTGGGAAATTTATTCCCAACACTGCATCATTAAAAAAAAAAAAAAAAATCATACATTTTAATTAGGTTGAATCAAATATTTTATATGCTAATAAAAATAAATGAACATAAATCTGCCATAATTTCATTTGCCTATTTTTTTCTATTCATTATTTCTACTGATTTTGTATTGCTTATATTTATACAGTGTGTTGCATGTTGTAGATTTTTTCTATAAGTAGCCAGCATTAGATGACTAATTTCAATTTTTTCAATTCAATTAATTTCAACAGACTTCTGAACTAGATGCTCGTTTCACAATTTGTTTTCACATTTCATAACATAAAAACATCCCATCAAAACCGTTAAAATAATAAATGATTGTTAAAATAATTTTATTGTTAAAATCATAATATATCTTTACAAGAATCTGCCTTGTATGTTACAAAACTGTAAATCATTTCAGCTTAGAGATTTGCACAGAAAGAAGAAAATACCCATACTTGTCTGAACATCCTTTTTGTCACAGCTCTACAGAGTTACTGATAATTTTTCAAAGAGTTTAGGAGGAATCTGATGTTCAAGTAATTTGTCTGTGCAAGTTTATTGCCACAGAGGCATGAGTCCATGCATTACAAAATCTCTTTTGGGCGTTTCCATGTTTGTAATGTAAAAGAATGTTCTCAAAACTAAAAGTTAAAGCACACTTGGGAAAATATTTGGATTTTTCTAATGCCATAGGCACCACCTTTCTTCTGGTATAATGATGAATTCTCTGTAAACACAGAGCAGTGGAGCTCCACATTAGCTCATATTCTGCAGCAAAAATATACTGGAAGCCAAAATAAAAATAAAGTCATTAAAATGAAGGAAAGTCCATGTGTCATGGATATTAAAAATATCACCTAACTTTTAAGCAGGGAAAAACCATGTATGACAACCTGCAAAGCTTTATTTAGTGTTTAAACAAAACTGGAGACTAGCAGTGTCACAAATTAATATAAAATACCTGTGATCATAGTTAGCGAGTCCTCTCTGACTTATTGGACCTCTGACTCTTAATGGACCTTACATATTTGATAAGCTGTAAAGAATGGACAATTATGTGTGAACAATTATGTTATGTGTGTTCTCAAAGTGGATTTAAAAACAAAAAAAAGACAAAAAATGCATCAGAGGTCTCTTCACAGTGACTGTTGCATTGCTTCCAATATTCCAGATGGAAGAAGCTGTTACTAAAATTTGAAATAAGCAATGCTCTGACATATATATATATATATTTTTTTTCTTCCACAGATTAAGATGCTTGGTGAAGCAACTGGAGAAAGGTGACATCAATGTGGTAGATTTAAAAAAGAACATTGAATATGCAGCATCTGTGCTGGAGGCAGTTTATATTGATGAAACCAGGTGAGTCTGACATGAATAAAATCATAGAATGGTTTGAGTTGGAAAGGACATCACAGATCACATAGTTCCAGCCTCCTTGCTGCGGCAGGGCTGCCCCCACCAGCTCAACTGCCCTGGGCCCCATTCCATTTGGCCTTGAACGCCTCCAGAGATGGGACACGCACAGATTCTCTGGGCAGTTGTGCCAGTATCTCACCGTCCTCTGAGTAAAGAATTTCTACCTTATATCTAACCTAAACCTCCCCTCTTTTAGTTTAAAAAAGGAAGAGCAGTTGGGAGTTACATTTTACAAATCTCGTCTTTGCATGCAGTTGTAAATGTTATGAAATGAAGATCTCTGCAAATCAGAATAATGGGTAGCTTTTAGATTTTTTAGTGACAAGGTTAAAGCACTTAAGATTCCAAAGATCAGGTGTAACCATCATCTGGAGGATTTGCTTAGTTTCTGTCATCTTCACTTGCCAGATGTTGACAGTATAAAGTCATAAGAAATTTCTGAATGATGGATGATGGATTTTCTTTCGCACATAGGTCACACAATGATAATCATACTGAGGACTATGTCACGAAAAAAATGAGCTGTTTGGAAATGAAATGCTCACAGATATGAGTCAGGGTATTATAATCTGGCCACTAACACATAAGTTAACGAAAAGTTGTGATTTATTTTATAGTATTTAACTATTTGTTTGTATTTATCATTACTGGCAGTATTAATGGCAGTCATCTTAAATGTGGGTTGACTTTAATGAAATTGGAACTTCTAAGTAAAAGTTCTTCCTGAAAACATTTTAAGATATGTAATATAATTGATGCTAACTAGCTAATTTACAATTTTATTTCAACATGCTTATTTTTTTTTTTTTTTTTTTAAAGCAGAATGTTCTTGTAAAACAGTCTGCCAAACCCTCTTCAGTACTGCTGGAGCACGCATGCTATGTCTAGTCTCAGTCCCTTCTGACATTTAGGAAGTCTGCCATCTACTAATTATTGCACAGACCTAGCTATCTCATCCTCTTTTTCTTCTTGGAAGTCTGCAAATGTGATACAGTGCATAAACTGCAGCTCTAACTTCTTCCAGTTTCCTTTCCTTTAATGTGTGTGATTCACACACCAAACCTTGCTGGTTTGTAATTAGGAGCATCAACTATTAGGCAATAGAAAGCATAAACATTTGCAAACAGAAGGATGAAAACAATAGCAAATTTGGTACCAATGCTCTGTTTTTCCCAGATTATAATACAGACTGGGCTAGCAAAATCACTTCTGCTGGTGTCCTGCTCTTAGAGTTAATGCCTGTCCAGTTCTGTAAAACTGTGGTAAGAGAGACTTCCGGAGCAGCTGAGTCGTAGTTAATTCCATTTATGTACCACTACGAATATAATTATTTCAGTTTTGCTGATTGATTTAAGTTAATCAAGCTTCCTTTGTATTGTATTGTATCAAGGACTGGTTTGTGCATTTAAAATAGTTTGAAGTTAAAGTGATAAAATTTCTTAGGGAGATGTACAAAGAAATGATCGACACACTTCTCTTCAAGCGTATATTACCCTAATAGCACCATAATATTTTATTTTCCAGTAATAGTTCTAAATGTAAATTCTGTTGACACAGTTCAAGTTCTCAAGAAGCTTTGGAAAATCTGGGTCCTCACCTCTGCATCGTGCAATACCCTAAAATCGTCAGTGAACAGAACTTCACGTATTTTGCATGAACAACCACGGAGCTGTGTCATAGCTGCACAGTCAGTTGGGAGCAAGGATGTAATTACTCCTTCCATGCACCTCCCAGGCACTGTGATTAAGTGGGTACAGTACTCATAGCTCTTTCTGAGTAGTAGCACCAGGACTGTGAAAAATTTTTGTTTCTAAAATAAGGCCTTTATTGAAACAAATAGTATCATTATAATGAGGAACCCAGTCTTTCTAGCTCCGTGTGGGAGTATCAAGAAAAGTAACAGAAATTTCATATGCAGAGAAATCTGGTACACCTGAAAATGCTTAGATTTCAGCAGCAGCAGGTGCATTATTTTCACTGTAAGAAACTCCTTAAATAAGTTTATTGCCCTCATAGGTCTCAGTGGCAGGATTATTAAACTGCCCAAATGAAAATAAATATACTTAGCTTTATAGTGGTCTAGAAGATTTTTGTCATTCTCAGGCTATTTTCTTAACCTTAGGAGCATTATGATCTCATAATGGTGATTATTCAGATGTTTTCAAAAAAAATCATTATGTTTGGGGAAGACCACAGGATGTCCAACCTTCATCCTGTGCCCACTAAGCCATGTCCCTCCTTGCACATCTACCCTTTTCTTGAGCACCGCTAGGGATGGTGACTTCACCACCTCTGAGAAGCTCATTCCAATACCTCATCACTCTTTCTGAGAAGAAATTTTTCCTGATACCTAGCTTGAAATCTTATTTATGAATTGCATTCCATATTTTGCGTAACAATATGATTTTTCATTATAACAAGTCATAAAGGAAATTAATTAAAACTGAGACAAATGTCTAGTTTTGTTGTAACTCACTGAATACTTCAATACAGCTGCAAACTGAGCTGATAGACATACTAATTTTTGTTATTATTTTCTCTCTATATATATACATTAAGCATATGGATTATGTATTTCCTCCCATACCTACAGCTATTTTTCTGAAGTATTATGATGTAAAGGAATTTTCCTTGCCCATGCTACTTATGGCATGAGTAACAGTTAAAAATGAAGTAACTTTAATGAAACCAATTCTTCAAATTTTGTTCTCCTATTTTTAGTGTTTAGTACTTTATATTCCATATTGTCTGTTTTGGTTTATAGTTTCTGAATTTAACTTCCGTCTCTGGACTAATGCAATGAGATTCAGATTTAGAATGGTGCATTGTTTGAACCTTCTGTTAAATGTATGGTAAGAATACAGGCTGAGTTTCCACTTTTGTGAAGTATTGTGAAATTCTAAAATATTTAAAATATTATCTGTACTACTGTTTTAAATTTTGACACTTTCCCATCTAAAAAAAATAATAATCCTGAGATTTGATGTACAATATAGAAAATGCAATGATGTCTCCTTGTTCAAAGTATTGCAGGTTTAGGACAAAAGGTTCAGTACAGAGCACTCAACTCACATTAAAAGAGCCATATTTTGTGTTTTACTAAACCATTGCTTACATATCCAAGAAGACCTCAGCTTCAACCAGGCACTAAAACTGGATCCTGTCTGTGATGTTTTCTTCCTCCCCCATTTTCTGGGAGACAGAACTCAATACCAGTTGACAGAGAGCCCTCTAAAGTATCTCAATAGTCAGATTAGGAATAGCAGTGAACAGAGAGAGATTTGATTTACTTTGATTGAAAGGCCTTTCAATTCTATAAAGTTGTATGTGGACATGCAAATATGTGCAAGCTGGCAGTACCTTAAGTTTTCATTTAGCATACAACCATCAGCTTGAAATGGACTATAGAATTCCAACCCTTTAGCTGAGTAAGGAGCACCTTCCTCAGGTCCTCTTACTTGCTTCTCTGCTGTTCTGTTGCTCTCTGCTGTGGCCTCTGATCTGAGGATAATGTAGCATTTTTAAAAACTGAGTACACAAACTTATATCCATACAAGCTCTTTCTAAAAATATATGCAGTTGGGTTGGTGAAAAGGCAGAGAGGTAACGCAGCAGGTTTTAATTACAGTGTTCTGAGAACAGACTCCTTTGGAACTAGCCAGATAGTAGAAATAGCATCCCCAAATTATGAAAAATTGATTTGGGGTAGTGATTTTCAGTATGCTGTATGAAAGATTCTGAGCTGACAGGAAGTTGGAAAATGGAGAGAAGTCAGATATATGTAAGTGCTGCTTTTCTCTGAGCTTAATTATCTGTGGCCCCATGTTAATTAACAAGCTTCTTTATCAAACACTTTTTAGGACTGCTGGATCTGTCAGTACTGCATAACTGTAAGGCACACGAGACACTTCCTTGAAAGAAAACTAGCACTTTGGTCACTGGAGCAGAGGCTCAGTGTCAGCTAAAAATAATCAGTGAACCTCTCACTGTTCCAGCCCCTCAGCAGATCTCTGTGGAAGAAGTTCAGACTTACTCAATAGGTGTTATAAATAATTCTGACAAGTCTTGCAGAATTTTCTCTGTTTGTACCTGACACTTGGCTTGAGGTAGTGGAAGAAGGATTTTTAGAGTTGAACAGGAAATAAATACAGCCTGATAATCCAGTGAGGACAGCTGTTCCGTTCCTTGTAAACACAGCTCTTCATTTGTGGTAAGTGAGAAGAAAATAAGTCAAGTAAAATGTAGATGGAAATGACAAAATTAAGAAAAAAAAAAGCATTTGAAAGCCAAAAACCCTGAAAATTTAAACTTACTGTGGAAAATGTTTTTAAGTTGTTCTGGATAAAGTCAGAATTTTTTGTTCGTATTAAAAGTTTTATTTTTACACTTCATGTGCTTTAATATTTTACAAAATAGACTTGATTTCAGGAAGATATTTATCTGTGTTTTTTCAATTCCATGCATAGATATGACTGGTTTTATACTGTAAAATACCCTTCTAAAAGACTTCAGTCTTTTGAAAACTTCTAACTTAGATGAGTTCATATTTCAGTAATACGCGAATGAGATGTGTTTTATATAGCTAGCAATTGCTTTCAGCATCTTTGTTTGAGTCATCAAGGAAAAATAACAAATACAAGTCATTGCCACATTCTTGAGGCGGAAAGGAAATCTCATTAAGGGTAAGTGGTGTTGTAATAATACGTGTCATCTGTTTGCATGAGAGATCTGGAAGTGCTGGAGGTATTTAAATGATACCATAATATAAACACAGCAGTCTTTCTGAGGAAAAACCCCTTATTTAAAAATGTTTGCATTCGGATATGCATAAACTTAGTGAAACAGGAGGTCATTAAACCCAGTCTTTGTGTCTGCAGCTGTTCTATACACCTAGGACCATAATGAATTTCCAGTGCACTGCTCCAAGTAAATAGTAAAAAGAA